GCATCAGCATCAGCATCAGCATCAGCATCAGCATCATCAGCATCATCATCATCATCAGCAGCAGCATCGTCATCATCGTCAGCAGGGTCAGCATCACCATCATCAGCATCATCACCACCATCATCAGCATCATCATCAGCATCATCATCGTCGTCATCATCAGCATCATCGTCATCAGCATCATCAGCATCATCAGCATCATCGTCATAATCATGATCATCAGCATCATCATCAGCATCGTCAGCATCATCATCGTCATCAGCATCGGCATGATCATCATCGTCAGCATCAGCATCAGCAGCAGCATCATCAGCACCATCAGCATCATCATCATCAGTAGCAGCGTCATGAACATCATCGTCATCATCGCCACCACCACCGTCTTCTTCATAATCATCCTCATCATCATCAGCACCATCGAAATCAGCATCATAATCAGAATCAGCATCAGCATCGATACCACCATCATAGTATTCATCATCATCATCATCAGCACCAGCATCGCCATCATCATCACCACCGTCAGCATCCGCATCCTCATCATCAGCATCATCATCATCCGCAGCAGCATCAGCAGCATCAGCATCATCATCAGCATCATCATCATCAGCATCAGCAGCAGCATCAGCAGCAGCATCGTCATCAACATCATCAGCATCAGCATCATCGTCGTCAGCAGCAGCAGCATCCTCAACAACGGCGTCAGCAGCAACATCAGCATCATCAACATTATCACCACCAGAACTACCAACATCATCATCAGCATCATAATCAGCAGCAGCGTCGACATGATCAGAATCAGCATCATCATGTTCAGCAGCATCATCATCCGCAACATCAGCATCAGCATCATCTTCAACATCACCAGCACAATCAGCATCCGTATCATCAGCAACAGCGGCATCATCAACAACGTCGTATTCGTCCTCAGCATAGTCATCAGCATCATCATTAGCATCATCATCGTCAGCATCATCAGCATCCTCATCATCCATGAGCAGCATCATCATCACCACCACCACCACCATCATCATCATCATCATCATCATCATCATCATCATCATCGTCATCATCACCTTCGTCGTCGTCTTCGTCCTCGTCGTCGTCGGCATCACCATCAGTATCAGCATCGGCAGCATGCGTACCAGTCACCACCATCCTCATCGTCACCACCGCCACGATCACCACCATCACCACCGCCAGCACCACCACCACCGCATGCGGCCCCTCGGCCCCGACGCGTTCCAGCAGCGCGCGAGGCAGCACTGACCCCAGCCGAAACAGCCCTCGAGTCCTAAGCGCGCCGTCCGCATGCGCCAAGGGCGGGGCGCGCGGGCCAGGCGCGCTGCGGGTACGGCGCGAATGGCCCGCGCGAGCGGTGCGGATGGAAGGCGTGGCACGCGCGCCGAGTGCACCCGCTGGCTGCTGGCCGCGTGAGCGGGGCCGCAAGTGGACCCCACCTCTGACTAACTACCAGGCCACCCCAACCTAACCCGAAGACCCAAGCTTCGGATTGGGGGGGTACGGGTTCCACACGTGTTTTTTTCTATGTTCCCCAACACTTCCCCGCTGGAAATCGAGGGTCAATTTGGGCCTTCGGGTTGGGTTGGGGTGGCTCGGTGGGTGGTGAAACGCTGCCTGCAGGGCCGCGCGGCGCCCTGCTGCCGAGCCGCGTGCAGCTGCGGCGCCACCAGGTGGGGGGGGCCACGTGGGGCCCAGTCCTCCCGCGACGTGCGGGCCCACAGCGCACTGTGCCCGAGTCCTTGCGGCTCGACGGCCGCGCGTGGCCGCGCTTGCACCCAGGCTTACGCTGCTCCCGTCGCACTTGCGGACCGCATCCCAGAAAAAAGTTCGAGCACCCACGAAAATATCGAAGCCAGTGTCGAACGAGTGTCGCCTCCCAGGGCCCAGTACGTGAAAACCCTCCAGTCTCGGCACTTCCTCGATGCTCGACGTTCTTTCTCGCGGTCCAGGCTCATGTAGGCTGGACCATCCCAAAACCAGGCGCTCCTCGCACGCAGAACGGGCGCGAAGCCCTGGACCGCGTGGACCGCGACGCATGGCCAGGCACGTCAGCCGCCCGCCCGCGATGGGAACGCGGGCCTGCAGGTGATGGCCTCGGTAGCCGCCGCCGTGCCCTCTGGCACGTCGAGGCGTGGAAGAATGCCAGGATCTGTCTGGTAGACCCCCCCTCCTCCTGGTTCGCAGACTCCTGCGTGTACCCCGCCCGTCCTTCCCGGGGCCACTTCCCTCGTGCCCGCTCGAGGATGGTGCAGTTCCAGCAGGGCAGCTAGCACCTAATCCTCCATTCCACGCGTGCACGCTCAATGATGGTGCACTTCCCGCATGGCAGCTGATGCCTGAACCCTCATACCATGCGCGCCCGCTCGGAGATGGTGCACTTCCCGCATGGCAGCTAATGCCTGAACCCTCATTCCATGCGCGCCTGCTCGAGGACTGCGCACTTCCCGCATGGCTGCCACCTCCTAGACCCCTCATCCCACGCGCACTCGCTCGAGGATCGCGCACGTCCCGTATTCCCAGGCGCTGCTCCCAAGCGCTCCAGGGGCTCCCAAGCCACGATTCCCCGTTAAACACGACGGAGGATCGTCTTCAGATTCCAAGACGGCCCGTGCAGGCACCCAAGGACACCAAGATGGCCCAAGATGTCTCGAAGACGGCCCAAGGTAGCCCCAAAGCGGCCGAACATTGCTTCAAGACGGCCCAAAATCCATCCAATAGGGCCCACAATGGCCACAAGAGGGCCTCCAACAGGGTACAAAGAAGCCAGAATGATTGATTTCCCTCAGGTTTTTGAATGATTGTCGTATTCTCGCCTTTTCGGGCTGCCGTCAGCTCAAGACGGCCCACGAAGACTCCACAATGGCCCAAGAGACATCCAAGACAGTCCCAAGACGGCCCCAAAACAGCCCAAGAGGGACTCCCGTGCGACCCAAGACGGCCTTAGAAGACCCTTGGACGGCCCAAGATGGCGCCAAGACGGCCCCACGACGGCCCCACGACACCCACCATACGGCCAAGAGGGCAACGAGCCGGTCCAAGAGAACCCCAAGCCGGCGGAAGAGGACGCCAAGACGGCCCAAGAAGGCCGAAGGGACCCCCAAGACTGCCCAAACGGCCCCAAGACAGTCCCAAGACGGTCCAAACGAGGTTCATCGTCATCATCATCATCATCATAATCATCATCATCATCATCATCATCATCATCATCATCATCATCGTCATCATCATCATCATCATCATCAACAACAACAACAACATCATCATCATCATCATCATCATCATCATCATCATCATCATCATCATCATCACTATCATCATCATCAGCATCATCATCACCATCATCATCATCATCATCATCATCATCGTCGTCATCATCATCATCATCATCATCATCATCATCATCATCGTTATCATCAGCATCAGCAGAATCAGCATGAGCATCATCATCAGCATCGTCATCAGCATCATCAGCATCATCAGCAGCAGCATCAGCATCAGCATCATCATCAGTATCATCCTCATCAGCAGCAGCAGCAACAGCATCATCATCAGCATCATCAGCATCATCAGCATCATCAGCATCATCAGCAGCAACAGCATCATCATCATCATTATCATGATGATCATCGTCATCATAAGCAGCAGCGTCATCATCAGCAGCATCATCATCATCATAATCAGCATCCTCGTAATCATCATCATCGTCAACATCATCAACATCATCATCACCAGCAGCTCCACCATCAGCAGCAGCAGCATCAGCATCGTCATCATCAGCAGCAGCAACGGCATCATCATCAGCTTCAGCAGCCTCATTATCAGCATCATCAGCATCATCACAATCACCATCAGACCCATCAACACATCAGCATCAGCATCATCATCATCATCATAATCATCATCATCATCATCATTATCATAATCATCATCAGCATCACCAGCATCATAATCATCATTATTATTATCCGCACCATCATCACACTCAGCAGTATCACCATCGCCACCATCATCATCAGCAGCATCACTAACAACAGCAGCATCATCACCACCACGACCATCATCATCAACAACAGCATCAGAATCATCATCAGCATTACAGGTCACCAGCATCATCATCGGGATCGTCGTCGTCGACGTCGTCGTCGGCAGCATCACCACCAGCACCACCATTATCACCATCGTCATCATCATCATCATCACCAGCATCGCCATCAGCATCAACACCGTCGCTTTCATCACAATCACGTGTCATCATCGCAGTCCTCGTCCTAATCAGCCTCAGCATCGTCAGCAGCATCGTCATGATCGTCATCATCATCAGCATCAGCATCGCCACCATCATGACGACCATCGTCACCATCCGCATAATCATCCGATTCGTCATCGTCCTTACCGCGGCTCTCCCAATCCCGGAGGCACGAGGTTACGCACGTGACGGCCTCACGTGTCCCATCGAACGGCCGCCACCAAGAATGTTGGGCTGGCACGGTGGCGGGACTTGTCGCAGACAGCTGGATAGTACTGTATGAACTGGATTGCCTGCGGACCACAATGTTCACCACATTGTGCTGAATATGTGCTGTGCTGTCCCTGGGACGCAGCCTTACTTAACCCCATGCCCACGATACTAATGTACCCCCCCGCCTTAAGTCGTTAGAGTTTTTTATCGTCGACCAATAAGAGTTTGGTCGGGGGCGCGGGGGCGCGGAGGCCGAACTTCATTATCACTGGGAAAGTTCGCCATCGAGGTTACTTCCTTCTCATGTTTACATAACAACATCAAGCGAAGCGAACACGTTTTTTCTTTGTGTTGATTTATGTGTCTTTCTCTCTTTTTCTTTGTATTGCTTTATGTTTCTCTCTCTCTTTGTCTCTCCCCTCTCTCTGTCTTTCTTTCTCCTCCTCCCTCTGGCGCCCTGAACTTGTTTATCGCTGGGGTTGATTATCCTGGGAAAACTAAGCACAGGAGCTACCCTACACGAGCAGATGAAAATTTTAATTTTCATTACGCGTTTACAAATTAAATACAATGAGTTTTCAACTTTGGATTGTTGTTTCTACATCCTTCTCTGCTTCTCCTGCTCTTCCTCCTTCTCATCCTTCTCCTATTCCTTTTCTTCTTTCTTTATAGTTCTCTTTCTATGTGTTTTCTTCTTGTCTCCCTGGCCCCCTGAACTTGACAAATAGTTCGAAGATGTCTCAAGCGAAACCAGCAATTCGCTGAGGATGTCTCAACCGAGACAAATCATTATTGAGGATGTCTCATAGAGGACCAAAAACCAAGGATGTTCAAGATGTCTTTGGCTTTTTCCTCTTGGTATCTCTTTATGCTGGCTCTGGCGGGCAACTTTTATTATCCCCCCGAAAACCCCGAACTTTATTATCCCTGAGGGTTTATTATCGGGGCATGGGGTTATACAAGACTGCATGAACTGAATTGCCTGCGGAACGCAATGTTGCTGAAGTGTGCTGTGTGTGAAGTGCTGAAGTGAACTGTATTGTGCTGAAGTGTGCTGTGTTGTCTCCGGGACGCAGCATTGCGTGTATAGGACGGTATGGGCTGCACCGCCTGCGGAACGCACTACTCACTGTATTGTGCTGAAGTGTGCTGTGTCGCCTTCGGGACGCAGCAGTGCTTGTATAGGACGGTATGGACTGCAGTGCCTGCGGAACGCACTACCGTTCACTGTAGTGTACTGCAGTGTGCTGCATTGTCGTCGGGACGCAGCAGTATTGCTTGTATGGGACCGTATGAACTGTTCTGTCTGCGCAGAGCTGTACCGAGGACGTTGGGAAGCTTCTCCCCGCGCTCACAGGCTGGGCGAGTGCCTCGCGACCACCTGCGGACTTTCTGCGGCCCCTAGGGTCGCAGGAAGAACACGAGCCTCCGCAACCCCAGGGCGCCTGCCGCAGGAGGAACACGAGCCTCCGCGACGGCAAGGACGTTGGGAAGGGGCGCCAACGCAGGAAGGTGGCAGCAAACGGCCTGAGTGCCGCTGAGGGGCCGCGGTGCTGCGGGAGCTGCCAGAGTCGCACGGCTCCAGGCGCGGGGTGGCGTGCACTGCCGCGGAGTGCACCCGCGGCTGTGGGTGAGCTGGCGCTCTGGGCCGCTGCTCGCCTCCTCCTCCTCCTCCTCCTCCTCTTCTGCGGGTTCGTCTCGTCCGATCGGCGGCAGAACATTCTTCATCATCATCATCATCATCATCATCATCATCATCATCATCATCATCATCATCATCACCGCAACCACCATCACCATCACCATCACCATCACCATCACCATCACCATCACCATCACCATCACCATCACCATCACCACCATCAGCATCATCATCAGCATCAGCATCATCATCATCGGCATCAGCATCATCATCATAATCCGCATCAGCATCATCATCGTCATCATCATCATCGTCATCAGCATCGTCATCATCAGCAGCATCATCATCACCATCGTCATGATCATCATCAGCAGCAGCAGAAGCAGCAGCAGCAGCTGCATCATTATCATCCTCATCACCACCATCAGTATCATCATCATCATCATCATCATCATCATCATCATCATCATCATCATCATCATCATCACCATCACCATCATCCACCCATGCATCCATCCATCCATCCATCTATCCATCCATCCTCGCATCACGCCCCCTTCGCTCCAGGGCGGGCGGCGGGCGGCGCCGCGATAGGGGTAATGGAGAGGATGCAGGTCATCAGGAGGCCGATGGTGCGGAACTCCTCATGATTGCCGCCCTCCGCCGTGATGACCTTGCGGGGGGCGAGGAAGAGAGAGAGAGAGGGACAAGCTAGGTGCGCTCGCGTCATATCTGACGTCCTACCCCTCCCTCCCATCCCTTACCATGGCGTAGATCTCCTCTATGTTCGCGCAGTTAGATGTCGAGCAGGACAATGGTCCCGCGAGGGCACGCAATGCATGGTAGAGCACGGCATAGCATAGCGTAGAAGAACTCGGCAGAGCGTGGCGTGTCAGAGCACGGCGTGGCAGTGCGCGGTGAATCATTACATGACGAAGCATTGAAACGCAAAGCACTGAAGGAGGAAAACGCGGAATGAGGCGAACGCTACAGTGGTTGCACCAATGAGACGGGCCGAGAATATTGAAATTGGCCGAGAGCACGGAAATGGAGCCAATGATGAGACGGGAATGCAATTTTGGAAGGGCCGGAAATGCGGAAATGCAGCTAAAGATGAGGCGAGATCGCCATTCTGGAAAGATCGTCAACCTCAAGATTGGAAAAGGCACAAGCAAACACGGCTAGTGCACATCATGTGTAGAACAAAAAAACATACGCAGAAGGGGGCGACAGCGTCGGATTGGAAGAACACATAGAAAAGACCAAATAATTGAATCTCAAAAATACGCGGAGGGTCTCCTCCTCCTCCTCCTCCTCCTCCTCCTCCTCCTCCTCCCCTCCGCTTCCTCCTCCTCATCCGCCTCATCCTCCTACTCCGCTTCCTGCGAGCTCAGGGCAGCTGGAAGCCTCGATGATGCCGCCGACGAACCACATGAGCTCCGCGGCCGCGCAGAGCACTATGCAGAAGTATAGCAGGTGCACATAGTGGAACCACTCGAACCGCTGGCTGCCCGAAGCCAGCTCCCTTTCACGCCTCCTCCTCCTCTTCTTCATCCTCGCCTCCTCTTCCTCCTCTTACTTCCACTGTGCTGACATATATGAACATATATGAACATCTGTTGCGTCTGGGCGGCATGAAAAATCCGACTCAGGCAAAGAGGCAAACCTCCTTCTGCTCCTCCTCCTCCTTCTCCTCCTCCTCCTCCTGATCCTCCCTCCTCATCCTCCTCATCCTCCTGCTCCTTCAGAGGTGTCCCCTTTCTGGCGCGGGCCACATGGGCGTCCAAGGACATTGGCGGCTCCTTACTGCCCCTGATCCTCGAGCCCCTGAAGAATCGTCGGTGCCACTCTCGAATCGCTGTTCTTCTGCCGCTGTGCTTAGGGCCTCATGCAGCCGAAACGATCGCAAGCGGTATTCGAACAGGCGCCTGTCATCCGCGAAACTGCTGGGAAGGTGACAACCACTGGGAGACACATCCAGAGAGGACAGGAGCACGAGATGCAGACTGGCCTGTTCGGCATCGCGCATGGGCACAGCCTAAACGAGCGAACGAACCAATCGGCCGTCGCCCCGAGGCGACTCAAGCAAGGCGGCACGTGGCAAGCGCGCCAGACGCTCGCGCGGGCCTCCAGGAAGGCCGGGGTGCTGGATGACCAATCCGCCTAAGCTGTATGACACAATCCAACGTGGCGCCAAGTCGTGTCCGTGTTGGGTCGTCTTCCGCGTGTTTCCAGCAGCGTGGCCCTCCTCTGGCGCAGCCAGAGAGTGTAGCAGAACACACTGGGCCACAGCGCCGCGCAGCCAAGCGGAGCAGCGCCCCGAGCAGGGGAGCCGCCTCTGCGCGCCACGGGCGGGCCGCCTTGGCGGAAGCAGTGAACACTGCACGAGCGGACGCATTCTTGACACACATCAGGGCTGAACCTGAACGGTGTTTTTCGTTTTCGTGTTGTTTTCGTTTTCCCTCGCTCTTGCCTCCAATCCACCTTTGGTGCAAAACGAAGTCGAAACGAAAACGGCCCACGAAATCACCAAAAACACCGTTTAGGTCCAGCCCTGACACACATTGTCACGATGCTAGATGTCTGCGACTGCGGTCGCACCCCCCGCCGAGGAGCATGGCCAGAGAACAGCGTCCCGCTGCTGCTTGAGGGAAGCAGGGAAGAGAGAGGGCAGGCATGCCAAGCAGCGAGGTGGTCGCCTCCAGTCGTACCGGAAGTCAAGATATCTTGCCTCCCCCCCTTTCGACATCCGTAACTAACTCTTTCTCTATCCCTCTGACTTCCTCCCTCCCTCAGCCCATCCCTCCTTATTATTAGCATTATTATTATGATTATGATTATGATTATGATGAGGATGATGATTATCATTATTATTATCACTCTCTCTCTCTCTCGCTCTCTCTATCTCTTTCTCTCTCTCTCTCTCTCACTCTCTCTCTCTCTTTCTCTCGCTCTCTGTCCCTCTCTCGCTCTCTCTCTCTCTCTCTCTCTCTCTCGCTCTACATACACATATATATATATACAATAGAACCATCGCGCGCTTCGCGCGCGCTCAAGGTCCAGGCGGCGAAGTATCGGCGGAACCTGCTGCACTACCACGCGTCAAGCCTCTTGGAAACGTCGTGCAAGCCTTCTTGGAGGCTCTTTGGGGCGCCTCTCAGGGCCTCCAGGAGTCCTCCCGGAGAACGGGAGGAGGAGGAAAGCAAAGAAGAGGAGAGAGGGAGAGAGAGAGAGAGAAAGGGGGACCGGAGAGCGATGGATGGAGGATGCGGGAGCACTTTGTGGAACACGCTCGCGCCAGGCGAATATATGGAGGGAGGGGACAACTTGAATAAGAAAGGATAGTTGGAAGTTACCTTTTTGCTTCAAGTGAGGGGCGCCTTCAATTAGGGAGACGGGAAGCGGGAGGAAGGACGGAGCGGGGAAGAGGGAGGACGACAGAGGGGTAAGAGAGAGGGGACGGGTAAAGAGAGAGGAGCCTTCGAAGAAGGCCACACTCTCGCGCCACCCCCCTCTGCGCACCGCCAAGAGAAGTCCGCGGAAGGCGGATGGCAGGGGGCCGCCCAAGCCTCGAGACCTCGAAAGTCCTGAACCAAATGAAGGCCGAGGACGTCTTCAATCATCTCGGGGCCGGAAGCGGCCCCTGGAGTCCTGAATCATGCTTCCAGAAGGCTCTCCGGGAACATGATGGTCTGGGCCGTGTTACGGCCCTCGTGGAGGGTTTCAAGGGAACCCAAACGAGGCTGCAAAGCCCGAAGGACGGCCCTGCGGATATATTCCGAAATCTTGAAAAGGGGGATGAGGAGGTGAAGCTTGGAAGTGAGATGGACAATTTGTAAGGTAACAAAACAAAAACAGTAGGAGCTGGGAAGACCACGAGAAGGATGGTGAGATTGAGCGTAGCGTAGGGGGCCTTACGGAAGAGACCAAGATAGCCGTCGGCCCATCCCGCGTGGGCCATAAGCCTGTAGGATGTTATAAGCCTGTAGGATGTTCGGTAGATTGTCGAGCGAGGCCTCGCGAGGGTCTCTTGGGAGGCATGTGTTGCCTCTTGGAAGCCGTTTGGGGGCCTTCTGGGGCGTCGTGAGAGCCTCTTCGGGCCTCTTGGGGCCCCGTGGGAGCCTCTTGGGACCTTCTTCGGGCCTCCTGGGGGCTTCTGGGGCGGAGGATTCGAATTTGCTTTTCATGCTCCCCCTCTTGAGCCCTTCTTTAGGCTGGCTTTGGGCCCTATTGGGCCGTCTCGGGCGCCCCTCGGGGCTGTCTTGAAGCCCTCTTGGGCTATCCCAGGGCTCTCCTGGGGGTCTCTTGGCCCATGCTGGGTCGGTTTGGGGGGCCTCTTGGGCCGTCCTGCATTGTCGGAAGCTCGAAAAGCGGAGAACCCTCAAAAGATTGAAAAACCGAACGGCAATTACACACGTTGGCCTCCTGGGGCACCCCGCTGGCGCCTGGGGCGCCCACTGAGGCCTGCCCCGGGGCCCCTCTGGCGCGGCATGACAGCCTTCGGAGGCCGTTCACAAGCTATCTTCGGCGCTCTCGAGTTAGGTCGGGCATGTCCTCCTACAGGCGGATTTGGGGCGAAAACTCAAAAATCCAAAAAATGCTCGAAAATACCCAGAAATAGTTTTTAAAAAATCGTCCCCAGACTGTATTTTGAGGATGTTTGTATATTCCTCCTGTAAAGGGACAGTCCCGACTTAATTCTCGGGCCGTGATGGACCGGTCGATGTCGTACCAATGCTTGCACCATCTGCGCGCCCACGGGGGCCACTTTGAAGGCCACGAGGGCGCTGGTAGGGCCCCGGAGCGGCCATGCGTCAAAGGGTCCGTGGTCCTGGACCCGCCCGCGGACGTTTTTGTTTCTCTCTCTCTCTCTCTATTTCTCGTTGGTTGTTGTTGTTTGTTTTTTGTTTTTTTTGTTTTTTCTCTCTCTCTCTCTCTCTCTCTCTTTCTCTCTCTCTCTCTCTCTCTCTCTCTCTTTTCTCATACATACATACATACATACATGCATACATACATACATACATACGCACATGCATGCATGCATGCATGCAGGCATACCTACATACATACACACATGCATGCATGCATGCATGCATGCATACATACATACATACATACATGCATACATACAAACATACATACGTACAACCATACATATATATATATATATACATACATACATACATACATACATGCATTCATGCATACCTCCAAACATACAGACAGACTCTACATACACGACATGCATACATGCAAAAATAGATACATACATGCATACATACACACTAGGTACATACGTGCATACAGACGTACATCCATATATACATACACACATGCATGCATACATAACTACGTACACATAAATACATACCTATATACGAAAATACATACATACATACATACATACCTGCATCCATACAGCATCAATGCATACATGCATGTATGCATGCATGCATGCATACATACATGCACGCATGTATGCATGCACGCATACACACATACATACATACACTTGTACATACATACATACATACATACATACATACAGCCATACATACATACAGGCACATACATACGTACAGACTACATACATACATACATGCATGCATGCATGCATGCATGCATGCATGCATGCATGAATGCATGCATTCACACATACATCTATCCATCGAGACATACATACATACATCCGTACATCCATTCATACATACAAGCATACATAAATACATACGTACATACACACATACGTCCATCCACCCATCCATACATGCATACGTATATACATTCTTCCATACCTACATACATACATATATGTGAACATCCATCCGTCCATGCATAAATTCAGACATCCATACATACAAACATGTATATATATACAACTCTACAAACATACATGTAGATGGTCGTAAGTGCATCAATACATGCATCCAGCCATCAATACATACATAAATATAGACATACATATATCCATACAACAGTGAATACACACACATCCATCCATACGACATACACACATACATACATGTATGTACATACACATACATACATACATGCATTCATAACTACATACAAAGATCCAGACATCCACACATACATACATACATGCATGCATATGCAAATACATACCTATATACACATACATACATGTACACATACATCCATACATCCGTGCATACCTACATCCCTCCGTCCAAACCTACATACATACATACATACACCAAGAAATACATACATACGTACATCCATCCGTCCATATATCTAGACGTACATACATCCATACATACAAACTTCCACCACTACATGCATACATCCATACATACATACATCCATACATACACACATATGCATACATCCATACATACATACAGACAGACATCCAGACGTACAGACGTACATCAATACATACATCCATTCATCCATACATTCTTACATACATACACACATTCATCCATCCATCCACTAATACATACACTCATCCATACAGACATACATACATGCAGACATACAGTCATACGTATATATATATATACATCCACTCGAACATACATACATACAGTATACATACATCAGTACACATATCCATACGTACATACATAGATGCATTCGTGCATACATGCATACATACACACATGCATGCATACTGAGTGGTTCCAGGTCAGAATACCGCCCCCCATGGAATCCCAACGGGCCCCTGAGGGCAGCACCAGGGTCGGCTGCGACACTGGTCTCCTGCAAAGCTGAATAGAACTCAGTACTTGTGGGCTGGTCTATAATGTCGGCGGCGTGTGCCGGCGCATATGCCTCTCTATCTGTTCTCTCTCACTCTCTCTCTTTCTCGGGTTAGACATACACATACATATTTTCATATATGTGTGTATGAACACATATACCGATACATACATATACACATACATTGAAATAGACATATACCTATACGTGCACATCTACATATACATATGCGTATACATATCCATATACATCTACATAGACACGTACACTTACAGCTACACACGTACATCTATACACACGGATCGCACAGTCATAGACATATGCAAATGCATACACACAGCATCATGTACCCATACATATACATATAGCCATGTATGCATGTATAGATGCATACATATACATGTGCACGCACATATGCATACACATGTGCCGATTCCATACTTGGACAGATGCATATACATAGGTGAACTGTTGTGTTATATAAATACATGTGCATATGCATATACATAAACATATGCATAGACATACAGACAATATTATATATACACATAGGTGTATATGCATATGTATACGCATAGACGTATATGCGTACACAAATACCAAGTCATAGATATACATATCTACAACAACGTGTAAATACGCATCTACATATGACTATATACACATATACAAATACATAGATGCGCGTACCTACATTTACATGCATGTATGCGTGTACGAATCCATGTGCAAAACATACCATTATATACCTATACAGATAAACATACATGTACGTGTACATGCTCAACGATCAAGACGTGAAAACATGTGTATGTGGAGTATGTTTTATGTGTGTCCCTCTCCCTTTTTTTCTCTCCCTCTCTCGCTCTCTCTCTCTCTCTCTATGTCGCTCTCTCTTCTCTCTCTCTCTCTCTCTCTCCCCCCTTGACACTGCCCTGTCTCGCATCACGCAGCGAGACACAGACCACCTGGACAGAGAAGACCTCAACTGACTCAACTGGCGCAAGAAGGTTCTCCAGAGTGTCGTTCAAATGATTATGCGAGCTGTGAGAAATCATGTTAGTTCAAGGGGTGGCAGATCGCATCACTACTGTGCGCGGCTGTGATATGTACAGCCGATACTCCATGTTGAGATTGACCTTGGCGTTCAAGCTGACAATGCCCGCGCAGTGTTTAACCCTCCGGTGACGAATGTGAGGATGAAAATGAGGAGGCCTCGAAGAAAATAGAAGCGTCAGACATGGCATATCCATGCGCGTTGCCTCAGCGTACATCCACAATGCTGGGTTTGTCATCTTCAAGGGATGTGTTCGAGCCAACGATGATCGCGTGAGCCTTCATGTGTTGCGCTGACGACACCGTTGTAATCGCCATGACTGTAAATTGCGTGTGGTATCCCTAAGCCAACGGCGCAGATGTCTGACCTCGCATCCCCCGAGCCCCTCCAGGAAGTACAGGGCCAGCGCAACGTACAGTACATGATCGAGTCCGAACCCCGAGTCAGTCCAAGCTGACATTGGTCAAGCGGGCTCAGCGGCGCGCAAAAGGGGTGGGACGAGGGGGGCTGCCTTCGACAAAGGCAGGGGGCTTCCGAGAGGAGCCCCGAGGCTCCTGAGCCATCAGATGGCCTCTGGGAAGATGGGAGGCCTCTGCGACGAGGCCCTCCCCCTCTCCCTTCCCAGAGGGCCACCTCTCTCGCCCCACCCCCCTCGTGCGCGCCGCCAAAGGACATCGGAGTGTCATATGGAAAGAGAAGCCACCTTGGGCCCAAGGTGCTCCGCGGCGGCGCGGCCTCCCCGGCGAACCTCCCGCGCGCACCACTCGCCTCAAGTCAGGCACGTCCCTCTACAGGAGGAATACCTACACGACCGCCCTTCGGGTGATAAGGAGGTTGTGAGGGGGGGGGGAGAGAGGGGGGGACCAACATCTGACTCAATCGATCTCACTATCGATCTCACTCAACGGGACACCACGGGACACCACGGGACACCACGAGACACTTGTCGATCTCACTGTCGATTTCACTATCGATCTCACTCAACGGGACACCATAGGACACCACGGGATACCACGGGACACCACGGGACACCTCGTGACTCTCACTATCGATCTCACTATCGATCTCACTATCGATATCACTCAACGGGAAACCACGGGACACCACGGGACACCTGTCGATCTCACTATCGATCTCACTATCGATCTCACTTTTTGGGACACCACGGGACACCACGGGGCACCACATCGATCTCAGTATCGATCTCACTATCCATCTCACTATCGATATCACTCAACGGGAAACCACGGGACACCACGGGACACCACAGGACACCTGTCGATTTCACTATCGATCTCACTCTCGATCTCACTTTTTGGGACACCACGGGACACCTCGGGCCACCACATCGATCTCACTATCGATCTCACTATCGATCTCACTCAACGGGACACCACGGGACACAACGGGACACCAGAGGACACCACGGGACACCGCGGGACACCGCTAGGGCCACCGCCAGACGGACGGACGGACGGGGGAGAATCATTTGTCTTGACGTCGCCCTACTAACGGCAGATACCACGGGGCACCACGGGACACCACGGGACACCGCTAGGGCCACCGCCGGACGGACGGAGGGGGAGAATCATGCACCCACGCAGCTTCGCCGCGCCCGCACGCACGACACGAACGAAACGAAACGATTTCCCGGTTGGGGGTCTCCGTTCCACTGCGATCCCACCCCCCAACCTCCGATTTAGAAATAGTCAAAAAATAGTCCGGGGACGACTTGTTCACTATCTCTGACTGTCTGAATACCTTTGGTGATTTTTCGTTTTTCCTCCAAAATCTGCCTGTAGGGGGACGTGCCCGACCTAACACTCGCCTGGCAGAGGACGGACGGAGAGACAGGCCACGCAGGCTGGGCAGCCCGGGACAGGAGGGGCAGCGGAAAGGCGGGGGGGCCCAGGCCCGCGAAGACTCCACGGTTTGCGAGTCGCCAGCCCCCCGAGCTGGTGAACCCTTTTCGTGGGCGGCCTGACTGTTCATCCTAAGTCGTGTTTCGAGGGTCATGATGCCGATGATGTTGGAACATCTTGGCGCGTCTTTCTCGGGTCGCCAGGAGTCTTGGACCCCTTTCCCCCTGTCATTTCGACGGCAGCTGAGCGCGGAGCCCGTTGCCGAGAGACCGACCGAGGAGAGGCGTGAAACGGGCAGGTGGAGCTTGGGAAACCAAAAGGTACGCACGTACACCGCTACTCCCCGGAGCTCGTCCGGGATGCGTTCTGACCAGAATTCCGTGGGAAATCCAGCGGTGACGACGAGAGCCTCCCAGGAGGCTGAAAAAAGGAAAAACGAGGGCAGGGTAGAGGTATGGGTGCCCTTCCGTCCTCCGAGGAGCGGTGGAGGGGAGGGAGGGGCACAGGCCGTGAACGGCTCCCCCAGGAGCCCTGTCTCCTCCTCCTCCTCCGCAGCAGCAGCAGCAGCAATCAGCAGCAGCAGCAGCAGCAACAGAAGCCCCTCACCCTTAGCTGCACCGATGCGCAACACGCAGCACATAGCATGCTGACACGGAGCTCACCACGTAGACTGAAAACGTAGGTCTGGCGCGATACGTTCGCCAAAACGTGGGCCAACACGCTGAGCCAACACGCAACGTATTGACACGGACGTTTTGAGCACGGTACGTGTTGCGTGTCAAAATGGGCGCATCGAGGCAGCCAAGCCCTCCCCCGACTCGGGGGAACTGGGCGCAGAGCTCGTGTGTGGGCCGCCCGGCAGCAAAAGAAGAGCACCGCGGGTCACGTCCGCCTCCGCGGGGTGAGCGGGCGAGGACTGGCGCCTGCGAGAAGAGAGCGCCAGCCCTCCCGTGGGCGCCGCCACATGTGGCATGCAGGCTGCTGCTGCTGCTCATGCTGCGTGCCACGGCGTGCACGGCCTACCACCTGCCTGAGTGGCTGCAAGCGGGTGGCAGCGATGAAGTACAGTTGAGGCCCGTCCACAAGAAACCTTCCACAAGAAACCCAACCCTGAGACCCCAGGACGTCCATCGATTTTTGGCGCGGTGACGTCACGACTTCCATGGCAAAACCATCGAAACCCAAGAAACCCAGGGCACCCTGCGCTGTGGTGTTCGCAGGCACTGTGGCACACACTGGCGCAGTGTTGCACGCGGCTGCTGTGGTGGTGTGGTGTACGCAAGCGATGTGGTGCACGCAGGCACTGTGGTGTACACAAGCGCTGTGGTGCAGATTGCCGCCTACATGCTGCTGCTACCCGTCCTCGCTCACTCCTAGGTCCGAGGCATTTCCAGACGCCGCAGGCGCGAAACGTGACGTCATCGGCCCCCTCACCCCCCCAGATGACGGCCGTCATCGGCCAGGAAACAAAACAGGCTCCAGCCGCATCCGCGCGCACGACGACGATGAACGACGAGCGACGAGCGAAAACGACGACGACGACGACGATGACGACGACTGCGGACCAGATCCCTATTCGGATTCCTATGCGGACGCATATGCGGATCCCGATGCGCACGGCGGCAGTGCCCGGGCGCACTGGGGGCGGCGGGGGCTATAACGCCCGTTATGCCCCAAGCAATAAAGAAACACGCTCGAGGCATGGCGGCGCCGGGCGAAGCTGGGCGGCGCCGTTTCTGCAGCGCGGAGGGCGGCCGCCCGCGAGGCAAGCGCCCACTGCGCGGCAGTGGCCCCCCGGCAGCCCGCACGGCCCCGCCGAATTCGCCCGCGGCACGCGGCTCTCGCCCTCGAGGCGAGTGAGGGAGCCCAGAATCGGGCGGAGCAAACGCACCACCACCACCACCTGGAGGATGGAGTCAGAGGGTGGTCCAGGGTGGCGGTGGTGGTGGTGGTGGTGGTGGTGGTGGTGGTGGTGGTGGTGGTGGTGGTGGTGGTGGTGGTGGTGGTGTGCTTCCTGCTCCCAGCAGAAACGGGTGTTGGCCAAGGCGTCCATGGCCCAGGAATAAGACGATACCAGGACGAGGATAAGTCCTGGTGAAAATCCATCGAGAATCTCTGAGACCTGGCGGCTCTGGAGGATATCTTGGGCGCCGCGGCCTTCTCCGAGCGTTCTGGACCACTCTGAGAGCGTTCCAGAACGCTCTGGAACGGATTCCTCCTCGTCCTATGGCCCCGTCCGAAAAGGTGCCCCCAGGATATCTCCACAGACTCCAGAGAGCACCCTTTCCGAGGCCCAAAAGAGGGCCCCAGGGGCTCGAGCCTGGGAGCGAGAAGCTGGCCCCCGCGCGAGCAGCCCGCCGCGGCGCGCCCGCGCCAGCAGCCCGCACTCGCGCGCGCGCGCGTCAGGCGACCAGGTGCAGCAGCAGCACGGACCCGCCGGCGAGCAGCGCCACGGGCGGCGGGAGCGCGCCGGCAGCAGGCGACGCTGTGAGGTGTGGCGGCGCCGGCGTCGGTGGCGCCGGCGCTGGCGTTGGCTGCAAGTCAGACCCATCGTCACCGACCGGAAGGTCGACTCCGGTCGGCGGGCCCTCCCCCACGCACAGGCCGTCCTCGCAGAGCACTGGCGGCGAGCTGAGGCTGCAGGAGCAGGGGTCACGAGGGCACCCCTTGTTCTGCCAGGCGTCTAAAATCACATGCTGCGCGGAGCCCGTGACTTGCACCGACACGGCGTGCCAGCACGCCGTTGGCAGTCCGTACCAGCAGGCGGCGACGACGGTCTGGCAGTCGGAGTCGGCCGTGCACGCCTGACGATCTGGGCGCACGAGCTCCGCGAAACTCTCCTGCAGGTCCTCGCAGGTGGCCTCCCCCTCGTCGGTGGTGCCCACCTCGTCTTCGCGGGCCGTGGTCTGGCCATCCTCCGCCGCCGCAGCGGTGGTGGTCGTCGCCTCCTCGCCTGCGGCGCCCACGGACAGGGCCGCGACGGCGGCGCTGACGCGCAGCCAGCTGGCGCGCCTGCGTGCGCACGCCATGGCGCCCGGCCGCCCGGGCGGCACTGACGGAGCCACGCGCGGGTCGCCGTCCTCGCCGCCGCCGCCTCCTCGTCCCCTCTCTCCTCGTCACCATCATCCGCCACGCCCTTGCTTATAGATAATCCCTCCTCGCTGCACCGCCACCGGGCGCGTCGCTTCAAGAATTCCGTGCCACTCATGGCGCTGTAGCCTGAAGTGTTCCAACATTCGCGTAGACGGCGAGTTGCTTTCAAGATGCGGCTCTCGCTGAAGCGCCGCTCACGTTGGCCTCAAGATACTACAACAGCGCTATACGCGGATTGAGGGCGCGGTATTTTCAAAACATGGCCCTCGCACTAGCATGGCGCGCGTGTCCTTGTCGATGTCCCTGTTAGTGGCATCCATGATGGTGGCCTGTCTAGGTATGCGATTATGGACTGTCTCAGCCAAACAGACCTCACAGTGAGAACCCGCGAGGCAGAGCACTCGGCCGCGCGGCGTGGAATACAGAGTCGAAGTGGCGCAAGCGACGCTCACTGTGGAAGCTGAGAAGACGGCGGCGCGCAGTTTCCGTGCTGCTTGCTTCTGCGCGAGGATCAGCGTGCGCGGCTCGTCGTAACGACCTATGGCCATCGCGCAGGCGGAAGAGAGCGCGGGGCAGCGCAGTCCTGCAGGCGGATCCGTGGGCCAAAAAGACTACACGTCGTTCATATCTAATCGTGTTCATTTCTAAGTGCGCTCGTTTCTAATTGTTCCTGGCCCCCCAATGGCCAGGAAGAGGCCCAGGATACAAGAATTAGCCTGACGAAGGACCCAACCATATGCAGGTGTGAGTACCGCAATTGTGATTTACTTTTTCGGTGGGGATCCCCATGAGGCAACGAACCGTGCCAGGGGTGTGCCGAAATGAGCGGCGTGGTACACAACGCGAACGAAACATAACAACACAATGCGGACTGCGCCACGGGGACCTTCGGTGGGGCTCCATATGGGGCCAAGACACGCTGTACTTGGTGAGGGCGACGCATGCGGACTGCGGCGCGGGGACCTTCGGTGGAGTTCCCTATGGCGCCACGAAACGTGTGAGGGGTGTGCCGAAATGAGTGGCGGGACGCATGCGAAGTGTGGCACTGGGACCTTCGGCGGAACTCCTATGGGGCCACGAAACGTGTGAGGGGTGTGCCGAAATGAGTGGCGGGGACGCGCGCGAACTGTGCCACTGGGACCTTCGGCGGAGCTCCCTATGGGGCCACGAAACGTGTGAGGGGTGTGCCGAAATGAATGGCGGGGACGCATGCGAACTGTGCCACTGGGACCTTCGGCAGGGCTCCTATGGGGCCACGGAACGTGTGAGGCGTGTGCCGAAGTGAGTAGCGGGGACACGTGCGAACTGTGCCACTGGAACCTTCGGCAGGGCTCCTACGAGGCCACGAAACGTGTGAGGGGTGTGCCGACATGAATGGCGGGACGCATGCAAAGTGTGCCACTGGGACCTTCGACGGAGCTCCGATGGGGCCACGGAACGTGTGAGGGGTGTGCCGAAATGAATGGCGGGGACGCATGCGAACTGTGTCATTGGGACCTTCGGCGGGGCTCCTATGGGGCCACGAAACGTGTGAGGGGTGTGCCGAAATGAATGGCGGGAACGTATGCGAACTGTTCCACTGGGACCTTCGGCGGAGCTCCTATGGGGCCACGAAGCGTGTGAGGGGTGTGCCGAAATGAGTGGCGGTGACGCATGCGAACTGTGCCACTGGGACATTCGGCGGGGCTCCCTATGGGGCCACGAAACGTGTGAGGGGTGTGCCCGAATGGGTGGCGGGGACGCATGCGAACTGTGCCACCGGGACCTTCGGCAGGGCTCCCATGGGGCCACGAAAAGTGTGAGGCGTGTGCCGAAATGAATGGCGGAACTGTGCCACTGGGACCTTCGGCGGAGCCCCTATGGGGCCACGAAACGCGCGAGGGGTGTGCCGCAATGAATGGCGGGAACGCATGCGAACTGTGCCACTGGGACCTTCGGCGGAGCTCCTATGGGGCCACGAAACGTGTGAGGGGTGTGCCGAAATGAATGGCGGGGACGCATGCGGACTGTGACACTGGGGCAGTCGGCGGAGCTCCTATGGAGCCACGAAGCGTGCGAGGGGTGTGCCGCAATGAATGGCGGTGACGCATGCGAACTGTGTCACTGGGACCTTCGGCGGGGCTCCTATGGGGCCACGAAACGTGTGAGGGGTGTGCCGAAATGAGTGGCGGGGGCGCATGCGAACTGTGCCACTGGGACCTTCGGCGGAGCTCCTATGGGGCCACGAAGCGTGTGAGGGTGTGCCGAAATGAATGGCGGCGGGAACGCATGCGAACTGTGCCACTGGGACTTTCGACTGAGCTCCGATGGGGCCACGAAACGTGTGAGGGGTGTGCCGAAATGAATGGCGGGGACGCATGCGAACTGTGCCACTGGGACCTTCGGCGGAGCCCCTATGGAGCCACGAAGCGTGTGAGGGTGTGCCGAAATGAATGGCGGCGGGAACGCATGCGAACTGTGCCACTGGGACCTTCGGCGGAGCTCCCATGGGGCCACGAAACGTGCGAGGGGTGTGCCGAAATGAATGGCGGGAACGTATGCGAAGTGTGCCACTGGGACCTTCGGCGGAGCTCCTATGGGGGCCACGAAACGTGTGACGACGATGATGACGATGATGATGTTGATGATGATGCTGATGCTGATGTTGATGCTGATGCTGATGATGATGATGATGAGGAGGAGGAGGAGGAGGACGATGACGATGACGATGATGATGATGATGATGACGCTGATGATGATGATGCTAATGATGATGATGATGATGATGGTGATGATGATGATGATGATGGCGATGAGAGGAGGGGAGGAGGGAGGAGGAGGAGGAGGAGGAGGAGGAGGAGGTTTTCCCGCGAGCACAGCGTGGGCGAGCACCTCGCGTCCACCTGCGTCAGGGCTGGTTAGTCCTCCGCGCCGCCTGAGGCGGCGGAGGAAATTTGTGCCTCCGCGCCACTTGCCGCGGCGGAGGCGCTGGCCGCATTCCCAATCGCTTCCAGAAACTTCAATTCCTGGGTTCGGGTCAACGCGACCACCTCTCCAGGCAGTCTGTCATTCTTATAAGGATGCATACCTGCCAGCAAACGATTACGCCGAATTATGGCTTTGTGGCCCCTCGGGTCCTTAGGACCCCCTGTACGCAACCCACAAGCCCTGGCGCCCAAACAGGCGCCGCACTCTCGACAAGAAGTGTGGTGGCCAATTCGAGACAACATGTGTCGCCTCGGCCCCTCCAGAGGAGCCACGCCGACACTCGCTATCTTCTTCCACTTGGCGTGCGAGGAGAAAACCTCCCTGCAAAACTTACGCGACAGCACTCGCTTGGCCTTGTAGCAGTGGGCCTGTCTGGCACACCCTGCACACCTCCAGGGCCCCCTGTCCACCTCCAGGACGTGCCGAGACTCGGGAGGAGGCAAAACCGAACGGCGCGGCCGAGGGCCAGGGGGCTGGGAGGCGCTCTGGTGACGGCCTGCGGTGTCAAAAATAGTGCATATCTTCCAGGTCATATCTCCGACAGGCCCGAAGACAGCACAAATCTCCTTAAATCTGGCCACCCCCGTGATATGCGGCGGGATGGCGTCTAACTTGGCGCCGTCCTTCGCTTGAAGGTCGGCGCTTTGATTCCCTGGATACTTGCAGC